TAATTACTGCCGCCTTCAGCTGATCGCTTTAGAGGATCCTTTTCCGAAGTAGAAGTAAACTGATTGGAAGAAGAAACTGTGTGCTTTTCATAGCCCATTAAATCCATATCAGGAGGTGCTGAGTGTAACTGCCTTCTACAAGCCTCTATTGCCCACTTTCTTTCGGGCAGTCCAGCATCTGCAGTTGACCTTGCCTTTCGCTTACAGCGGGGCTGTTTTGGGGCTACTTCAAGGTCAGTTAAATTTTTACCGATTTGCTCATCTCCTGGTTGCCGTACCAGGACATTGTTTTGTGTGCGCTTCTCCTCATCAGAGCCTTTATCAACACCTTGCGTTACAGCCTCATCGTCTTGAGTATCCCCGTCTGAAGGGCGTTTATCTAAGTGACTTGTCCTGGTGTCATCAGAAGCTTTGTTTACGGACTGAGTGTTTTCTGCAAACGTTTGCTCAGCCTCACGGACAGGCTCTAGCACCTTGTCATTATTAAGCGTTTTCTGGGAAGATTTGCTACTTTCTGTAGTTTGCTCGGGTAGTTCTTCCCCGACGACGGTTGGTTCCCCACTTTCAGGCTGCGAAGGTGATGCCGAATCTGGCAGCAAATTAGCAGAACCCAACACACTGGCAGGAGTGGCTGAAATCGCATGCGGATCATTCGTGAGTCGATCAGGTGATATGGGCACAAAACTCCCAGGATCCCTTTCAGGTTCACCAGCTCCTCTTGACAGAGATGCGTGTACATCCTTCGGAGGTGCACTTGGCTTTCCACTAATATTTTTGGCCGCTTCTTCATCAGAAAAATCTGTGGCACCCGCAAACTGCCTAGGCTTCGGCTTGCGATCGCCACCAGAACTTGAAATAGAGACTGCCTTGGCGCCTCCTTGACCCCGCGAGCATTCCTCTTCCTCCCTTTCTTCGGCGATATCTTGCAGGCCTGTTTGCTGACCTGGATAATATTCGGCAGAGGGTAACCCAAGTTTACTCGAGAGTGAAGATCCTGGACCTGCTGCATACATCCCCTCCTGTTTATCTTCCTCTCTGACGCTGTCTCTCAATCCTCGTTCAGTATCGATAGTGTCCTTTGAATTTCTTCTGTGTAGTCTAGTTTCCTCAAGTAAATAACCTTCTTTTGGCTGCTCATGTGCTCCTCTTTCCGATCTTTCTGACGGTTGGGATTGATCGGGAGGAATAACAACGGCATCAGGTTTATGCGTGGAAATAGAACTCATTTTTTCGCTTGTTGGCTTTGAATATTTGTTTTTGTCCTGGAAACCACTAGTCAAATCGCCATCCGATTGCTCCCCTTTAACAGTATTGTTTTTCCCTAACAAAACCGAATTTCCATTCTGGCCTATGTCTTCCAAATTATGGGAACGTCCCATCTCTTGCGTTGAAGTATCTGGGGGAAGTCGATATCCTGACCGTTCTGGCATCAGTGTTGCAGTTGGCAACTGACCATGCGTAGGACTACAGTGTTCTGAAGCAAATGTGTTGGTCGCACCGCTAGTTTCTGAATCGTCTCTACTACCTTGTGCTTCTTCTGCATTAAGGACAGTCCTATCAGTAGGGGACTTTTCAGATTCACGACTGTCTGGTGTCTGATCAGTGGTCCGGCTTTCCGGTGGCGACGATTGTAGTGGCTTATCGCCGGATTCGGAAAGGTCTGATGGTCTCAGGGGGCTATGGCTCGACCTAGGACTTTCAGACGACTTATACTGTTTAGCCGAGTCTGAAAGGCCAGGATCGTTTGTCGACTGCAGACTAATTTTCGCTGAAAGTTCCTTCGTTTGTCCACCATGGGGCCAGAAAGTTTCTTTCCCATATAAGTGAGTTTCTGATTTTGAGGTTCCCAAGGACTTTCCTTTGTAATCCCAACAAAGGGTGCACAAACTATCAGCTGCAGGATTGTTTATCTCATATTGCTTTGTGCTTTGCTTTTCAATTAGCATGTGAAAGCTTTGTTGGGCGATAAAATGCCATCCGGCTTCGCCAGGACTTTCGCCAAACTGATAAACTTTATCACTATCGTCGTTGACTGGAGTCACTGGAAATTCTGACTGAGATTCTGAGTAGTCATTTGGTTCGCCGACTTCTCTAATAAGCTGACGGATTGCCGATTCTTGCCCACAATCGATGATACTGGTGATTGAATTGTTGATAGTTACTGAGGTGTGCGTTGTTTCTGTCTCTTCCAATACAACATAAAAGTCACTTGCTGGTTGCTGAAACGTCTTTTGGTCGTAATCTCCCATTTGACTTGGTGGTATCCAATAATCTAAAAAATAGTGGAGAATAGTGTTTATGCTTCAAAAGGAAGAAAGTGTTAGTCATATCTTATCTTAACAGGATCAAGCGTTAATCAACATTTGATCGTCAAAAGTAAATGCTGCCGCTGATAGGTCTCTTTTTTGTTTATTTTCAGAAGTAACATTATAAAATGTCGCTTTGCTCGTAGCTTTTCCTCGTATCTTTATACTATCAAGGGTTTTTCTGCATAAGATTCTTTTATATTTAATAAAATAGACCGGAACTTCTAAGGAAAGTGGACACGCATGAGACCGCCTTGGAACATCCCTTTATGGTTTTATCGACTATCGAGAAACCTAAAGACACTCTACCGTAAAGGTGGTCAAGTTGATTATTATGCATATATATATCATATTTTATAAATAAAATATGTCCGGTAGATATTCAGCGTCCATAAACAGCGTAATTTGCCGATATGAAGAACCCCATTTTCGTCAGTCTTTGCAATTGGTCTAAAAGAGATCAGTTCATCACACACGTTGACATGCATTATTTATATAGAACTTAACAACAAATCACTGCATAAAGGAAATGGACATATAGTAAAAACGATAGTTCAGCGAAAGGATTAACGAAAAGCTAAAGCGTGTGGATCGCACTTGCTGACAGCATACCGCCGGTGTGGTTTACTGACTCTGGCATGAATAAAAAAAGTCACGTCTTCGAACTAACATCAGAAGTCTCCAGACTAGTAGGAGAAATTTGCCTACCAGAGGCCCATACCTAGCAGTGACCCTTGTGAAATGCAAATCACTGCACTTGTGTATTTGCATAATGCTCACGCACACAACCTGATGCCCACTGCACCTGGTTGTGGAGAGTATCACGCTTCAGGAAAGCGCGCGAATAATTCTACAGCAAAATGTGTGATGCAAAAGCAAATGTTGCCTGAAAAACCATAAAGTGGCAAAATAGCTATTCGTTAAGATAATATTGAGAGGATATATGCGTGTATAAGAGGACTGTCGGTAGATAGTTCCAAAGTTGCGGTAGATATTTGAATGTAACAACCGTCTATTAGATACTAAACAGCAGTTATCGCAGGCTCTTTTTTTCCAAATACATCTGCCAAGTAAGCATTTCATGGTTCTGCTAAATTTACGAATATTGAAGTTAAGCGGCATGTGTTTGATTCTTACCAACATGGCTTTCAAATCCTATACTTTGTGGGCTCTTAGCTCAACTTATGCGTTGTTTAAATTTATCAATAACCAAT